CGCTTGGAGTGGTTATTTTGTTTTTTGTTAATAACTCTATCCCTGCCGAATGTGTACAGGAAAGAGTTGTGCAGATCCCGTCCGGGCCACCATTTTCAAAATCCACCTGTTAAAATAAATTTTTTTTTTTTTTTTTTTTTAATGTTTAAGGTAAGGTGTTAAAATAAAATATATATTAATAAATTTTTATTTATTAATATAAAATGTAATGCTATATGACAAATATTTACCAAGTATTGATTCATATATCGCTTTATAAGTTTATCTTTGCACAGAATATTTCTGAATTGGAAATTTAGCAAGATGTCATACACTGCCAATGTGAATGCACAGTAATGGTTTGTCAGAATTAGAACTGCAACCATACTAAAAGCAGATCTTGTGATAATCAAGACCCAAAATAACTCTTTATTATTTTGCTCAAAAAGAGCATAATAACAATTGTTTACTTGCAGACTTTCTTTCTACTGAATTATTTCGGCAGTACTAGCAGTGCTTTTTAATAATAGCAGTTTTTTGTAACTGAACACCTTTTGATCTCTGTACTCTTCTACTTGTTTATGATTATCTAAAAGTGCTGATTTATACAAAAAGTCCAAAAAATTGAACAATTAATTAAAATCAGGGCACCTTGTTTCATAGCTATTAATGTATTCACCAAAAGCATAAGGTAAGCTGTAGAAAATACATGGATTATGTTCAATTTTATCATCTACTTTAACTTTCAATTCTTTTTCATAACCCTGTTTCATGTATCACTTTAGTTTTTTGAGATATTCTAGAAGCATGAACTAATAATACTATGTAATAAGATAATCAAGTATTGGAAATAATATAATTGTTATTTCAAACTTAAGGCCATACAAACTTAATAATTCAGTTTTAATAACATAAAATTTTTAAAAGTGATATGGCAATCTGGCTTTTAATTTTATTTTCAAAAAAATTTTATATATAAAAAACATATAAAATTTTTTATAGATTTTTTTTAAAAAACTTACCCAAATAGTAAATATACTTAAAATTTTTTTAAAAAATTTGTAAGTTGCGACCCGGCCGGGTTATGAAAACCGAATCATTAAGTTTGTATGGCCTAATATTAATATATAAACTAACTATATCATTTTTATATCTAAAATGATTCTATATAAAGTTTTCAAAATTATTGAAAGTATCAAACCCATAATCATTACAGATCATACATAGCCTACCAAGGTCTTCACAATACTTAAGGTTAGTACAATCTTTTAGTTATGCTATAAAAGTAGTTCTTTTCATGCTATTTGAATAAATTTTATTAAACTTATCCTATAAATTACTCTTTTGGTTATATAAATATAGAATTAGCAATCCTGTTATCGAATTTACATAGTATGAGCTTATTGTAACATTATCTCTGTCTTGAAAAAATAACAAGAACTAATTTTCTTTAATATTGGACAATCATTGGATAGTTCTTTTGGGGTTTTGCAAAGGTGGTACATCTGGGCCATAAAGTTAAGCATACTTCCTTACTTTATTTATAGTTTTTAACCCAACCTAATAGCAAAAATATTATGTTATAATTAATAACTATAAAAAACTGTCAAATCAGATTTATTTGAAATTGTTAAAATCTACAGCTTTGATGTAAAAAAAGTCAAAATCTTTAAAATATTTAATTTTTAAATGAAAAAGGGTTTGCTAAACTACTATATTACAATTACTTATGCCCAATTCTTTTATTAAAAAATAGTATTTAAACTTTAGGCCAATTACAAATTTTACTATTTGGCTCTCTCTTGTTTGAAATTATTGTATTCTTAAAGCTATTACAAAATCTTATATTTTGTGAATTTGGTTGCAGAACTGGTGCAGGGGTTAATGTATTTTAGGTTTTTAAATAATTCTTTATTAGCAGTAGAGTCTAATGCTTTGCTCCAGAATTCTATAGAAGATTCTTTTTTTGAAAAATGTATTATATTATTACACTCACAGGCAACAAATATTGCTCATCATGCACATAGTTCTTTATCATAAAATTAATATTCAGATAGGTAAATGCTTTGCAACATAAGCAGAAACTGAATAATGGAGCTATTTTGCTAATGTCAGGAATTTTGCGAGATTTTATATAATGAGAAAATATTAATTCTAGCAATTGTAAATTCTTCTAATCACTAACAGTACACTTTGGTGATTAATTTCTTAACTTATTTAGATGCTCATAGACTGTTGCATCTATAATTTCAAAAAGGTATATTTTTGAAGAATCTCTATGTTTTTCCAAACATCATCTGGGGTTTTTCTTTTAACTGTTTTAACACATATTAATTTTAAATAAATTTCTAAAATACATTCACTTTCTTTAATTTTTAATACAAAAAAATGCTGTTTACTATAATATTGTATAGTAAAAGAAGAAACAAATCTGGAACTGACCCCATGAAATCTATTTTCTTCCAGGTTACCTGCATTGATTATTGTCACGGCTGATGCTAATTTTTAAGGTCCCTATTTAAATCTACAATACCTACTAAAATTCATATATACTTTTTTATTAACAACACTAACCCCAAACTCTACCCTAACTCTAAAAAAAACTCTAACAAAAGGCCCAAAATAATTTTGAAATTTCATAATAAAATAGGTCAAAAAATCAACATCAGCCAAAATCAGCATCAGCCATGACAATTATTACTATAGGAAGTCTTTCTATATGAACAAATATTAAAAAAATAATATATCAGTGATTAATTGTTAGATAATATTTATATTATCAAATCCTATTACTGCAATACCAGGGTATGCTATTTTTGTTTTAAAAATTTTTTAATAACATGTATTAATTGCTAATGATGAATTTGATTTAATTTCTGATGTAGTTGTTTTTAGAGGTCTGACTCGGTCAAAAAATCTGTATTCGAATATTCATTTGTTCAATTTTATTAATATTCGAATATTCATTGAAAAATTTCAAATGAATATTCGAATATTCATTGAATATTCACTGAATATTATT